AGCACAGGACATTGGCAACGTCAGAGCACAGCGCAGGACATTGGCAACGTCAGAGCACAGCACAGGACATTGGCAACGTCAGAGCACAGCACAGGACATTGGCAACGTCAGAGCACAGCACAGGACATTGGCAACGTCAGAGCACAGCACAGGACATTGGCAACGTCAGAGCACAGCACAGGACATTGGCAACGTCAGAGCACAGCGCAGGACATTGGCAACGTCAGAGCACAGCACAGGACATTGCAACGTAGAGCACAGCGCAGGACATTGGCAACGTCAGAGCACAGCACAGGACATTGGCAACGTCAGAGCACAGCGCAGGACATTGGCAACGTCAGAGCACAGCACAGGACATTGGCAACGTCAGAGCACAGCGCAGGACATTGGCAACGTCAGAGCACAGCACAGGACATTGGCAACGTCAGAGCACAGCACAGGACATTGGCAACGTCAGAGCACAGCACAGGACATTGGCAACGTCAGAGCACAGCGCAGGACATTGGCAACGTCAGAGCACAGCACAGGACATTGCAACGTCAGAGCACAGCCAGGACATTGGCAACGTCAGAGCACAGCACAGGACATTGGCAACGTCAGAGCACAGCACAGGACATGCAACGTCAGAGCACAGCACAGGACATTGGCAACGTCAGAGCACAGCGCAGGACATTGGCAACGTCAGAGCACAGCACAGGACATGCAACGTCAGAGCACAGCACAGGACATTGGCAACGTCAGAGCACAGCACAGGACATGGCAACGTCAGAGCACAGCACAGGACATTGGCAACGTCAGAGCACAGCACAGGACATTGGCAACGTCAGAGCACAGCACAGGACATTGGCAACGTCAGAGCACAGCACAGGACATTGGCAACGTCAGAGCACAGCACAGGACATTGGCAACGTCAGAGCACAGCACAGGACATTGGCAACGTCAGAGCACAGCACAGGACATTGGCAACGTCAGAGCACAGCACAGGACATTGGCAACGTCAGAGCACAGCGCAGGACATTGGCAACGTCAGAGCACAGCACAGGACATTGGCAACGTCAGAGCACAGCACAGGACATTGGCAACGTCAGAGCACAGCACAGGACATTGGCAACGTCAGAGCACAGCACAGGACATTGCAACGTCAGAGCACAGCCAGGACATTGGCAACGTCAGAGCACAGCACAGGACATTGGCAACGTCAGAGCACAGCACAGGACATTGCAACGTCAGAGCACAGCACAGGACATTGGCAACGTCAGAGCACAGCACAGGACATTGGCAACGTCAGAGCACAGCACAGGACATTGGCAACGTCAGAGCACAGCACAGGACATTGGCAACGTCAGAGCACAGCACAGGACATTGGCAACGTCAGAGCACAGCACAGGACATTGGCAACGTCAGAGCACAGCACAAAAACAAGCACAGCACAGGACATTGGCAACGTCAGAGCACAGCACAGGACATTGGCAACGTCAGAGCACAGCACAGGACATTGGCAACGTCAGAGCACAGCACAGGACATTGGCAACGTCAGAGCACAGCACAGGACATTGGCAACGTCAGAGCACAGCACAGGACATTGGCAACGTCAGAGCACAGCACAGGACATTGGCAACGTCAGAGCACAGCACAGGACATTGGCAACGTCAGAGCACAGCACAGGACATTGGCAACGTCAGAGCACAGCACAGGACATTGGCAACGTCAGAGCACAGCACAGGACATTGGCAACGTCAGAGCACAGCACAGGACATTGGCAACGTCAGAGCACAGCACAGGACATTGGCAACGTCAGAGCACAGCACAGGACATTGGCAACGTCAGAGCACAGCACAGGACATTGGCAACGTCAGAGCACAGCACAGGACATTGCAACGTCAGGCACAGCCAGGACATTGGCAACGTCAGAGCACAGCACAGGACATTGGCAACGTCAGAGCAGCACAGACATTGCACTCAGAGCACAGGACATTGGCAACGTCAGAGCACAGCACAGACATTGGCAACGTCAGAGCACAGCACAGGACATTGGCAACGTCAGAGCACAGCACAGGACATTGGCAACGTCAGAGCACAGCACAGGACATTGGCAACGTCAGAGCACAGCACAGGACATTGGCAACGTCAGAGCACAGCACAGGACATTGGCAACGTCAGAGCACAGCACAGGACATTGGCAACGTCAGAGCACAGCACAGGACATTGGCAACGTCAGAGCACAGCACAGGACATTGGCAACGTCAGAGCACAGCACAGGACATTGGCAACGTCAGAGCACAGCACAGGACATTGGCAACGTCAGAGCACAGCACAGGACATTGGCAACGTCAGAGCACAGCACAGGACATTGGCAACGTCAGAGCACAGCACAGGACATTGGCAACGTCAGAGCACAGCACAGGACATTGGCAACGTCAGAGCACAGCACAGGACATTGGCAACGTCAGAGCACAGCACAGGACATTGGCAACGTCAGAGCACAGCACAGGACATTGGCAACGTCAGAGCACAGCACAGGACATTGGCAACGTCAGAGCACAGCACAGGACATTGGCAACGTCAGAGCACAGCACAGGACATTGGCAACGTCAGAGCACAGCACAGGACATTGGCAACGTCAGAGCACAGCACAGGACATTGGCAACGTCAGAGCACAGCACAGGACATTGGCAACGTCAGAGCACAGCACAGGACATTGGCAACGTCAGAGCACAGCACAGGACATTGCAAGTCAGAGCACAGCACAGACATTGGCAACGTCAGAGCACAGCACAGGACATTGGCAACGTCAGAGCACAGCACAGGACATTGGCAACGTCAGAGCACAGCACAGGACATTGGCAACGTCAGAGCACAGCACAGGACATTGGCAACGTCAGAGCACAGCACAGGACATTGGCAACGTCAGAGCACAGCACAGGACATTGGCAACGTCAGAGCACAGCACAGGACATTGGCAACGTCAGAGCACAGCACAGGACATTGGCAACGTCAGAGCACAGCACAGGACATTGGCAACGTCAAACAACAGGACATGGCAACGTCAGAGCACAGCACAGGACATTGGCAACGTCAGAGCACAGCACAGGACATTGGCAACGTCAGAGCACAGCACAGGACATTGGCAACGTCAGAGCACAGCACAGGACATTGGCAGAGCACACGCTGAGTCTGAGGGGAGCCTGACACTCCTGTTGAGTGCACAGGTAAGGGTCAGATTGACATGAGCAGGGCATGGGAGGGGATGCGGCACTACAATGTCGGGCCTAGAATGCGAAGAAAGTTGCTCATTCCACATTCCACCAAATTTCCACTACACTGCATTGCTCATATATATTTCCAGGTACACGTGCGTTGCTTGAAATCGCATAAGCATCTTTCCTCCGCATGTTTTGAGGCGCCTCAAAAGGCATCTTTCCTCTGCATGTTTTGAGGTGCCTCAAAAGGCTTCTTTCCTCTGCATGTTTTGAGGCGCCTCAAAACACATCTTTCCTCTGCATGTTTTTACAGCATTGAGCCATTGAATGCGACTCCCGCTAAAAAACCAACATCATCATAGGGATGATTCTGTGTAACAATGGACTTCCACTTGAACAAAAAGGCGGAAGAGTTTCGCCTTGGCTCTACGCGAGGCGTGCTGGGACAAAGCAGGCTCCAGCAAGAAACTTCCATGCAGCTGCTGAAACCTCCATCCAATCCAACAACAAACGCATTCAGCTTGTTCCTCCAAGTTGATCAGCCTTGTTTCGTGGAATGGAAAAACACTCAATCTGATTTCGGGTTTAGGGCTGTTTGCTGCTTATGTGTTAGTTCCTTCATTCCCACCAATGATGACCAGACAGAGGAGGGGAGGCGGAAGCACCAGGCCTACCAAGAAGTACCGTTGTTGGACCGTGCTTCGGGCAGCACGCCGCTCTGAAGGCGGGACTCTTTTGCCCCTACTTGTTCCGACCGAATCCCATGCGTGAGGATGGCGGTCCCTACTTGCCCCTACTTCTATTTTTGAAGGATGACCGAATCCCATTTTTGAAGGCGGGACTCTATTTTTGAGGCGCCTCAAAAATGCACGCCGCTCTGAAGGCGGGGCTCTTTTGCCCCTACTTGTGACTTTTGAGTCGACTCAAAAGTCTCCCCCCACCTACTTGTTCCGACCGAATCCCAAGCTTGCTACTCAGTCAATTAACCCCACAGCCATGAAGAGCCTATTAGGGGCACTCCATAGAATAGACCAATGCGAACAGCTATAAAGTGAGTGGATCAGCTGCAAAAAGAGTGGTTCCAGAGTGGTTTACCTGCCCTGCCCACCTTTGACACCCAGCTACAGCGTTATCCCTCCGTGGATAAACCGCCAGCTGCCGGCCTGCATGCAGCAGTGAATGGCCCCCATGCTACATACAACTTGAGCAACACTTGTAACCACAAGCACCCACCTTTCATGTCCAGCCACCACGCTATCCCTCCGGGGATGAACCGCCAGCTGCCGGCCTGCAGTGATGCACCCCTATGCTAGCTACCACAAGCACTGTTGCTTGACCAGCAACTGCTATGCAACCACTTGATCAGCACTGCTGCTCACAAGCACCCATCACCCACCTTCCACATCCAGCCACAGGGCTATCCCTCCAGGGATGAACCGCCAGCGGTCGGCCTGCAGTGATGCACCCCTATGCTAGCTATGCAACCCCTCACCTCGATGTGATCAGTACGCTTTCTCACAAGCACCCACCTTTCACGTCCAGCCACAGCGCTATCCCCCCGTGAATGAATCGCCAGCTGTCAGCAGGCAGTGATGCACCCCCATGCCAGGTACAACTTGATCAACACTGTTGCTCGCAAGCACCCACATCGCACACACGTGCACCCACCCACCTTACACATCAAGCCACAGCGCTATCCCCCCCGTGAATGAACCGCCAAGTGTCAGCCTGCAGAGGTTCGATCAACCCCCCCCATGGACACTTGATCAGCACGGTTGCTCACACGCACCCAGCACCCACCTTTCACGTCCAGCCACAGCGCAATCCCCCCGTGGATGAACCGCCAGCTGTCAGCCTGCAGTGACGCCCCGTAGGGCTGGCCCATGGTCGCAACCACCACTCGCAGTGTTCTGCAGTGTGGGGGGGATGCGTTCGAAGGCGTTAATGGGGGCAAGTACAGGCCAGCAACGCTCAGCTACCAGCCTGCAGTGGCGCCCGGTAGGGTTGGCCCATGGTGGCATGGCAATGCAACCACCACTCACAGGTTGCTGCAGGGGATATGGATTCAGAGGGGTTCATGGGGTTGAGTGCGGCAGCCTGCACTAACGCCCAGTAGGGTAGGCCCATGGTGGCAACCACCACACGGAGTGTCTTTTGAGTCGGCTCAAAACCCACCACACGGAGTGTGTTGCAGAGGAAGGTTAGGGGGGTTTTATGGGCTTTATGAGTTAGCTGCCCGCACACACAGAGAGACGTGAATATGCATACAAGAGATGTGCGTCTAAAAGGAGGGACGTGAACATACAAGGAGAGGAGAGTACGTACGACGAGAGGTGATCCAATAGGGCAGTCTCCGCCTGAGCCACTGATTCGGGCCCCTCTTCCCTGGCAACTGGCGTGAGATGGAGGGGTAAGAGGGGGATGCAAGGGAAGAAAGACTTTTGAGTCGACTCAAAAGTCACCACGAGGGGTAAGAGGGGGATGCAAGAGTGGGATGCAAGAGTGGGATGCAGGAGGGGGATGCAAGGGAAGAAAGATGGAAGGAGAGACGGGAGTTGGGCAAACGACAAGGGCAGGAAAGAGAAGGAGAGCGCGAGGGCAAGATGGGTAAGAGGTTGGTTTTGAGACGTCTCAAAAACAACCTTATATCACATGGACAAGATGGGTACCCCCCCATCGGGTCGTAGATGGATTACACGTGGGCTGCGGAGGGCAAGGAGGGTAGCCCCCCATGGGGCGGGGTTTTGAGACGTCTCAAAACCAACCCTATATGACGTCTCAAAACCCCCCATGGGGCGGGAGACAAAATCGCGCGGGCCATTGCAGCACACATGAGGTGCTGCAATGGCCCTCAAGGTTCTAACTTAGTTCAGAGACGTTTCAACACAAGCTGACGAAACCCCCCACACATGCTGCGGCAGAGTATGCTGCTTCACAGGGCCACCAGGTAACGCGTGACGCACCCTCATCAATGGTTGCAGAGGCTAGTTGCTCCACCAGCTGCTGAGTCACCATTGGTGCATATCTGGACGGTGCACGTGGGAGATGAAATCACATGCAACACATCACATTTGAAAGGAATCCTGAAACAAAAGACATCATACCGCATCCCATCACGTGACAACACCTGCTTTGGCAGATACTGAGAATTTGAAGGGTGAATACCTGCTGCTGGTTGCACATGGGAGATGGAAACAGAGACACAGGACGAACGACTCACACCCTTGGGTCCTGCAACTGACTACCAGTACCAACCCAGGAAGGATCAGACTTACCCTAATGAGTCGACTCAAAAATAGACTCATTACAGAAGGAGTCAGACTTACCCTAATGAGTCGACTCAAAAATAGACTCATTACAGAAGGATCAGACTTACCCTAATGCGTCGACTCAAAAATAGACTCATTACAGAAGGATCAGACTTACCCTAATGAGTCGACTCAAAAATAGACTCATTACAGAAGGATCAGACTTACCCTAATGAGTCGACTCAAAAATAGACTCATTACAGAAGGATCAGACTTACCCTAACCCTGTAGCCAGCTCTGCAGCAACAGCCGCATTCAGACAAGAGCTACCGCCCACCAGCAGCACAGAGCAGCTCTTCAGCTGATTGGCCACCGCCTCGGTCAGTGCCGCCCAACCCTGAAGCAGGGTCGGCCAAGCCTGGAAGACAGGCTCGGAAGGTGCAGGTGGTGGTTGTTGGAGGGTGGGAGAGGATGGTTGAGAGGGAGTCGAGGAGGAGGAGGAAGGAGAGGAGGGATGGGGTTGTTTGACGAGAGTGATAACAATCTCTGCATCGTCGATATACCTGGGCGGCAAAGAGGGGGAGAGAGATAAATAACAGTAGAGTCGTACACCAGATGAGTGCGGAGAGAGTGATAACATCACAAGGCAATCGTAACAAGAAACGGCAAGAGAATTGAGAGATATTTGGGAAACGGACAGAGGGCTACCATTAGCATCATTCTAGCATAAGTAACTGCCACCCACTCATGCCCGAATGGCCTCAAAACACGCCCAAGTCCATACCGAACCACACAATCACGTTCCACTTCACTCTCCTCACACGTGCAGTCAAACATCGCCACTCTCCCTTAAAATTGATAATAATAAAAAACGCCGACAAACACACTCAAATTCACTCACCAGAAACTCTCATGCGCCTCCACTCCCTCTCTCATACAGCGGACTCCCCAGCAGCAGCAGCGACCGCACCGCACCTACCCTCCTTGCTCTTCAGAACCCCCTGCTGCCAGACCCACCAGGCGCTGCTGCATCTTAAACATGAAACCCGAAACTGTACGCCCTTCCTTTACTCACCACATGCTCTCACTGGCCTTCAGTAGCCCATGCCATACAACGGACTGTGTTAGGTTTGTGAGAATTCTAAAAACCTAACACACTCACTCGCTCATACCATACAACGGACTCGCCAACAGCTGAGATGGCACCCGCCCCTCTTTGCTGCCAGAGCCAACCCGTTTCACTGAGAGCACACCTTCACTCGCCCTTTTGCTCCCTCAATCACTCACCACACGCTCTCACTGGCCTTCACTCGCCCGTACAGCGGTTGTGCCACCAGCAGCGACCGCACCCTCCCCTCCTTGGCGTTCAAAGACCCCCCCTGCTCCTACGGCCAGCTCCGCCTTTCACTCACCACACGCTCTCACTGGCCTTCACTCGCCCGTACAGCGGTCGTGCCACCAGCAGCGACCGCTCCTTCGCCTCCTTGCTGCCGAAGCCAGCTGGCGGCGCTACAGCCACTGCCAGCGCATCCTCCTCCACCTTCACTGCCACGTGGCGCGACTGGATTGGCCGGAGAGAGGAGGGGATGGGCACGCGGATCTCCACTGAGGGGCCCTCGTCGGTGAACTGGGAGGAAGAGGGGAGTGGGGGAGCAGGGAACGAAGAGACGGGGGGGGGGGGGGAGGGGGGATGGGATGGGAGGGAGTGAGGCAAAGGGAGGCAGAAAGTAGGGTTCGGAATCGCGTCACGAGGTGACTTTTGAGTCGACTCGGAAAGTAGGGTTCGGACTCGCGCTGATGGGCCCTCGAGAGTGAACTGGAGGGGAGGGGGGTGCAAGGCGTAAGGGGTGAAGGGGTAAGAGGCAACTGAAAGGCACTGATGGCCCCTCGTCTGCCATGGGGTAAGGGGGTTGGAGTTGGGAAACGGGGAAGGGAGGAGGAGGGAGGGGTGTGGGGTTGCAATAGGAACTAAGGAGGTTGGGAGGACAGAAAGGAGAGGGAAAGGGACGATAGAATGGGGAGGGGGGGAAGAGAGAGGGCGTAGGGAAGAGGGCTGGGGGAGCAGAAAATGGATTATAGAGAGCGGAATCATAGCGGCATAGCTAGGTGACTTTTGAGTCGACTAAAAAATGGGGTAAAGAGAGCGGAATTATAGCGGCATTGAAGAGAGAGCGGTAGTTTGGGGAAGAAAGCAAGGGGTGCGGGGAGAGGGTACAGGGTACAGGGTACAGGGTACTGGGTGCTGGGATAAATAAGGCGACGAAAGCAGGAGCAGAGAAAATGGGAAGACGATAAGTTGGGAGAGACAGATACTGCATTTCCCGAAATGGAATGCAAGCCGGAAACGGAAATCCGTACAGAAAATTCCTGCTTTGCTTGGGAAGAGCCCGATGGATCAGCGGCTCTGGCCACCCCGCTTGCTCGGTTCGCTCCCCCACGCCTGCTGCTGCCCTTCCACCCTGACAAGGTGTGACTAAACCCGCGGTCATAGTAACGAGATCCTGAGACGAGCCCTCGCGAGCAAAGCTCCTCCCCGCTTATAGAGGCACCGCTGCAGGGGGCGAGAATCTGGGAGCAGCGCGGGTGGTAACCAGACGGAATATGTAGCCAGCTAGCGTTCGCGGGGGTCGATGAGCGGTGCGATCTACATGTCGAGAGCGGCCCGGCGATAGGAGAGGACGCGAAAGCGGCGCGCAGTGTCGGGCTAGCCGCCATTGCCGCTGTTTCCGGATTTCGGAATTGATGCACTGAGGGGATTGGCGCGCTTTGTACTTGGGGAGGGAAGACACTGCAAGCTCGTTATGGAGCACTATAACGAGTACACAGGGCCGCAAGGCGGTGTACCATCAATGGACTAACTCGAGCTATACACTCGGAAACCAGATACCTAATGTAGTCCACTTCAAATACACACATGGCAGGACAGATTTAGAGAGCTGGAAATATATGATAGATCAAGTATACATATGTATCTCAGAAGGCAGAACAAACCCCCCTCAGACTTGTGAGAGCATCTCGATATGCCATCGTCTCGTGGAGGAAACAGACACCTCCAAAATGGATTAACCGCTATAGTGGTGGTAGTCATTAGTGAGTCTCTGCTGATGCAATGCGTGCCAGTAATTGATTCTGCACACACTGCCCCGAAGATGCTGTGGCTTTGCCTGCTTCGCATGCTGCCGCTGTGTCATAAGCGCCTGTTTGCTGCCAAGGCATCTCCCCTCTTGCCCGCTGAAACACTAATCCGGCCCTATCGGACTGTTCTGATAGGTACTGCTGTTGTCAACGCAAGCTCCTACCAGCATTGGACCTCACAAACCCAACATACCACCCCACTGCTTGCACTGCCCAGTGTATTATACCCCCCTGATGTCCAACAGAGCTCATGGCTTCGCACGACCCAAACAGATGTGGATAGACTGGCACATGGCACCACATGCCAACAGGGTGAACCACCACACAGCACTCAAGCGTCACACATAGGAGTTCCCTTTGCCAACGATCAGACTCCTCATAAGGCATGGCGGCGTCGATACGCTTACTCCCTCCCCGCCGCCTCCTCTTCCATATGCTTGATTGACCCCCCCCTCCCAATGCATATGAGCCAGCACCCCTACTGCTTCTTCCCTCTCTCCCCCTCAGCTTGCACCTATTCTGTCCAGTATAGGAAGAAAACATGCGACCAACATCTGCGGGTACACCCCGTACCCCGTATAGCCCCTCCGTTTACCGCCGCATCGTTGCCTAACCTTACAGCTCTGCCAGTGGTGCAAGATGATCTGGTGACCACCCTGGGCTGTACCCTTTATAGTCGTCCCCTTTACCGCCCCACCATCCAACTGCATCTAGCAGAAGAGTAGAAGTGTTTTTGTGACCACCCAGTTCTGTACCCTTTACAGACTTCCTCTTTACCGCTGCACCCCAGGCTTGTATCTGGACTGTCAGTGGAGCAAGATGGACAGATGACCACTTTGCAACATACCCTTTACAGTCTTCTCCCCCTGTCCTTTGTTTGTAACAGAGTCTTCTCCTCTATCGCCGCATCCTGGGCTTGTATCTGAACTCTGTGAGCAGGGCAAGATGGTCGGAGGACCACTCGGGGGAGGGTAGAGCGGTGTCCTTGCGCACAGTGTCCTCGTCTAGAAGCTCGAGCAGCGACTCCACAGAGAGAGAGTCGGCTGTGGTTAAGGGATACAAAGACAAAGTGGGAGGGACGAAGTGAGGTATTGTTCAAAGGGGGGAGAGAGGGTGGTGCCCTTTCGCACGCTGTCCTTGCATAGGAGCGCTCGAGCAGGGAATCCACAGATAGGGAATCAGCTGGAATGTGGAGGGAAGAGGAGAGGGAAGAGGAGAGGGAAGAGAGGGAAGAGGAGAGGGAGGAGGAGAGGGAGGAGGAGAGGGAAGAGGAGAGGGAGGAGGAGAGGGAAGAGGACAGGGAAGAGGAAATAGACTCCTCACGCTGCTGCCATGTTTTGTTGCCAGATCACCCACTCCAACGAGCACCCACCAGTGTAGACAACATAGTCGTGCCCATGAAGGCACGAGTCACCACTAGCACCACCACTCAGATCACCCCTTGCACCGCCACTAAGATCTCCCCTAGCACCACCACTCAGATCACCCCTTGCACCGCCACTAAGATCTCCCCTAGCACCACCACTCAGATCACCCCTTGCACCGCCACTAAGATCTCCCCTAGCACCACCACTCAGATCACCCCTTGCACCGCCACTAAGATCGCCCCTAGCACCACCACTAGGATCTCCACTAGCACCACCACTAAGATCACCCCTAGCACCGCCACTAAGATCGCCCCTAGCACCGCCACTAAGATCGCCCCTAGCACCACCACTAGGATCCCCACTAGTGGCCACCCATCGGTGTAGAAGACATAGTCCAGCGTGCCCATGACGTCCCGAGTCCAATCGTGAAGGGAGGTGCGCTGCTGCTTGAAGCAAGCACCAGCAAGTGAAGTCACCCCAGCAAGCACCAGCAAGCACCAGCAAGCACCAGCAAGCACCAGCAAGCAGCAGCACGTCAAGTCACTCCAGCGAGCAACCAACAGAGAGCTCACCCAGCAAACAAAGCAGACAAGGCACTTGAGCAGGCACCCACCGGTGTAGAAGACGTAGTCCAGCGTGCCCATGAAGTCGCGCGTCACATTGGTGAAGAGCGGCTCGCTGCTGCTGGCGTCCATTCTCCGCCGCTGCCTCTCCGCCACGGAGCCCCCACGGCTCAGAGAGGCGTATGCGCTGACCTGTCAGGGTGGATGTAGGGGGTATAGGGGGGGGGCAGTGGATGTAGGGGGTATGGGGGGGGCAGTGGAGTGAGAGGAATACACAGGGCCTCGCTGCTGCTGGCGTCCATTCGCCTCCGCTGCCTCTTTGCCATGGAGGCCCCCAGCTGAGAGAAGCATACGGGCTGACCTGCAGGGGGAAAGAGAAAGAAGAGGGCATGCAAAGGGCGAATAAGCGTGAAGGATAAACGAGAGGTTTGTTGCAGTGGGCGGGGTCCCATCCCATGAGCCGCTGCTGTGCTGCCGTCCCGCCATGAAGCTTCGACACAGACCTGATGCAGAGGTGGTTACGATGTAACACTTCGGAGAGCGCGGTTACCCTACCAGGGGCAGCTGGTGGCACACGTTGGAGACGGGTCGCAAGGAGCCAGGAGGGTGAGGCAGAGCTGAGGGAATGGAGCATAGCTGGTAAGAATGTAGCATATGACAGCAAACAGGCCAGCATACCAGGGGCAGCTGGTGGCAGAGCTTCGAGGCGGGCCGCAAGATGCCGAGTGGGTCGGTGGCGAGCTCTGGGTGGTTGGCATCCACCCGTCCCGTAGCAAGGAGAGAGTGCGGCGCACTGCGGTGGAGAGAGATAAGGGAGGAGAGGGGAGAGGGAAAAGCTCAATCATGTCAACAGTCAGCTGTGGGTGGGGCGCACAGCGAAAGTAAAGGGAGCAGAGACTTGTTTGTAGGGATCGAAATCAACCCTCTGCTTGCTCGTTCCGTAGCAAGCAGAGAGTGCGGCGCACTGCGAAAGTAGAGGGAGGACGGGGAGGTGGGAGGGGGGAGGAAGAGAAGGAGGAGTATGTGTCTGTGGTTGGCGTTAGGTGGGTACAATAACCAGCTCCTGTGGAGTGGAGGGGTCTTACCTATGTGGGATCACAGCACAGACAGACAGAGTGGGCGGCATACTCTGAGATGCATCAAATATAGGGAGGGGCTAGCAGTGCAGACCCATCAGCAGCAAGATGGCACTGGCAGGTGAGCACCTGCCAGATGTGAGCCGTTGCAAGCTAGGTGGCACTGGCAGGTGCACACCTGCCAGATGTGAGCCGTTCCAAGCTAGATGGCACTGGCAGGTGCACACCTGCCAGATGTGAGCCGTTGCAAGCTAGATGGCACTGGCAGGTGCGCACCTGCCAGATGTGAGCCGTTGCAAGCTAGATGGCAGTGGCAGGTGCGCACCTGCCAGATGTGAGCCGTTGCAAGCTAGATGGCACTGGCAGGTGCGCACCTGCCAGATGTGAGCCGTTGCAAGCTAGATGGCAGTGGCAGGTGCGCACCTGCCAGATGTGAGCCGTTGCAAGCTAGATGGCACTGGCAGGTGCGCACCTGCCAGATGTGAGCTGTTGCAAGCTAGATGGCACTGGCAGGTGCGCACCTGCCAGATGTGAGATTGCAAGCTAGATGGCAGTGGCAGGTGCGCACCTGCCAGATGCAATCTTGAAAAGCTCACCTGCCAGGCACACTATTGAAGTCTCCCGCCACCAGCATGGGGATGTCGGCACTAGCTGCGATCTTCTCAAGGCCCTTGAGCAGCGTGTGCACCTGGTGACACATGGTGCGGTGAGGAAAGAGTTCAGTCGGGTGAGTTTTGAGGCGCCTCAAAAGGCACCTGGTGACACATGGTGCGGTGAGGAAAGAGTTCAGTCGGGTGAGAGTAGACCACGAGCTCACACACAACCAACACAGACAGAAGCATGGGGGAAGGAGGGAGGAAGAGGAGAGCGTTAGAACAAGGGAGAAGGGTGGGAGTGCTGGAGGAAGCAGATGCGAAGGTACGTGTTGGCTTTACTACACCATGTGCCTGCCCATCTGCCAGGCACGGACTATGGTGCACTGCAACAAATGCATCTCACATGCCATACCACATGCCATCCCACATGCCATACCACATGCCATACCACATGCCATACCACATGCCATACCACATGCCTCACAGGACTCTAGCTCCTGGCATCACATGCACTCGCCCTTAGCCCCCATATCACCTTCCCCCTTATCTGCCATTTCTTCACACCATCACAACCACTCCTAGCCACTGCATATACCCTCTCCCCTCCAGCTGCTAGCCTCTAATTCCGTCTAACCTCCAGCCCCTCACCTGCCACAGCTTCACGTACTTGAGCTCAGGCTTGGCATGGATGTGCGAGCCGGCCTGATGCCCCATCACCCCACGTGTCCGATTTCAGCCCCTACCCTACATTCTAGCCTCTAGCCTCTACCATCTAGCCCCCCGCCCCTCACCTGCCACAGATTCACCGCCCTGTGCTCCAAGCCACCTCTCGCCCCTCACCTGCCTTTTGAGGCGCCTCAAAACTCACTCCATCTCCCAACGCTCATTGCCACTACCCCATCGCCCTTCACCTGCCACACACAATCGCCTCCACCCTACCGCCTAGCATAACAACTACCCTACCCCCTCACCTGCCATAGCTTGACGTCTTTGAGCTCCGGGTTGGCATGAATGTGCGTGTTGGCCTGAGAAGAGGAGATGCAGAGGGGAAGAGGGACACACAAAGGGGTCTATTTTTGAGGCGCCTAAAAAATAGAATGTGTGTGTTGGCCTGAGAAGAGGAGATGCAGAGGGGAAGAGGGACACACACAGGGGTAGTCATTGACAGCGGGGGATCGCAAGGGGAAGATCAATAGGCAGGCACAGGCAGAACGACAGACAGAGAGATAGCACCACGGAGTAGAATGGTGAGCCTTGTTGTAGCTCATCATACAACTGTCAGCAATACACCAATACACCACACCACCAACACACCAATACTCACCACACAGCACGCCACTATCAGTGAACCCCAATACTGCAACTGACAATGCACCACACAGCACCGCATCTCACCACACAGAGAAGCTGTCTCTTCGCAGGAGCACCAGATGCGCCATCCTTCCCGTCCCCCGCGTCTCTCGCCTCCAACACCACTATCAGCGCCACATTGTCCTGGTGGCGCAGGGAAGAGGGGGGAGAGGGGGAGAGAGAAGGGGCCGAGAGGAGGGGAGAGAGAGGGGGGAAGAGGAGGGGAGGGAGGAGGGGAGAGAGAAGCGGAGAGAGGAGGGGAGGCAGGAGAGGAGAGAGAAGGGGAGAGAGGAGGGGAGAGAGGAGGGGAGAGAGGAGGGGAGAGAGGAGGGGAGAGAGGAGGGGAGAGGGGAGGGGAGAGAGGAGGGGAGAGAGGAGGGGAGAGGGGAGGGGAGAGGGGAGGGGAGAGAGGAGGGGAGAGAGGAGGGGAGAGAGGAGGGGAGAGAGGAGGTCTTAAGTGGCTCAAGTGGCTTTAAGGAGGCAGCTGAGTGCAGTCTTCTTGGTGGGTGGGTTGCACCAGGGTTGAGGGTTAAAAGTCTAGGATTTAGGCTTTCAAGTTTAGAATTTCAGCTATGAAGGGAGGAGGAGATGAGTACCCCTCCTGAGTAAGCGGTTGAGAGCAGCCTTTTGGCGGGTGGCGCCAGGGTTGAGGGTTAAAAGTGTAGGGTTTAGGCGTTCAAGCTGCGGGTTTCAGCAATGCAGCTAAGAGGAGGTTGGTTGGTACCTTGAGCAGGCGGTTGAGAGCACCTGTGGTTCAATCCAGAGCGCGTGGTATAAGAAGTTGGGTTTTAAGTGATGCAGGAAAAAGATGTACCTTGAGCAGGCGGTTGAGAGCAGCCTTCTTGGTAGGTGGCGCCAGGGCTTCAGAAAGCGAGAGAGCCGCCTTGTTGAACTCCACCTGGGGAATGTAGAGGAGAGGAGGCAAGGGGAGGAGGACAGCAAGGGAGAGGAGCGAAAGGGTGGATTGAGGGGGTGCCAGGGTTTAGAGAGCGAAAGAGCAGCCTTGTTGAACTCCACCTGGGACAGAAGAAGGAGGAAGTGAGATGAGGGAGGGTGAAGGGGGGCGAGATGAAAGGGTGACAGTGAGAGAGAGTCAGTTGGTGGAATTCCGCCTGTAGCTGGCGGGGGGGGGGGAAGAAAGGGCGGATCTGAGTGCCAACAGACATGGTAGACGGTGAGAGTGCTATAGAGAGCAACTAACAGTAAGTATGTTTCTGCATTCTCGTGCTTGTGCCCACCTCGTCCTCGCCTCGGCATGCGCTCACCTCATACCTCTCATCTCACCACACTCTGGGCTCATTTTGTACCCCTCAGCACCGCTCTCAGGTCACCTCGCACCCCTCACCACCACTCTCTGCTCACCTCGTATTTCTTGACCAGGGAAGGGGAGAACTGATCGCCGGCGGAAGACGGTGGCACGTCGTGCTAGTGCTCGCCCTCTCAGCACCAATGCCCCCTTCGCACCCCTCACCACCGCTCTCTCCTCACCTCGCACCCCTCACCACCACTCTCTCCTCACCTCATATTTCTTGACCAGGGAGAACCGATCCCGGCGGAAGAAGGTGGCACAGCCGTCAATGGCGTATGCCGTGCCGGTGTACACCTGAGGGGGGGAGGGGGGGGGGGGGGGGGGATAAATTGAGGTTGCTATTGACGTGAACGATCCACATAAGGCGGCCTTTGAGGAGTACACCTGAAGAGGTGGGAGTGAGGCATGAAATGACTTTTGAGTCGACTCAAAAGTTGCCGGAGTACACCTGAAGAGGTGGGAGAGGGGGGGGGGGGGAGGAGAGGGAGTACACCTGAAGAGGTGGGAGAGGGGGGGGGGGGGGAGAGGGAGGGAGTACACCTGAAGAGGTGGGAGAGGGGGGGGGGGGGGGGGGGAGGGAGGGAGTACACCTGAAGAGGTGGGAGAGGGGGGGGGGGGGGAGAGGGAGGGAGTACACCTGAAGAGGTGGGAGAGGGAGGGGGGGGAGGGAGGGAGTACACCTGAAGAGGTGGGAGGGAGGCATGAAATGAAATGAGGTCGCCACTGACGCACGTGGCAGCAATAAGACAACCCTTGAGTCAGCCCAGCCCAGCCACCAACGGCATATGCTGTGCCGGATACCCTTGGGTTGGGAGTCATAAATGAGGTAAGTATTGAGGTGAATGACGCACGTCAAAGGTGACTCTCGAGTCAGCAAAGATATCAATGGCGTATGCCGTGGTGAATACCCGGGGGAATCAGAGGTACATGGAAGAGAGATGGCAGATGACACCTTGCCAATTGAATCAACAAGGCCATCCATGACGCATGCCGTGACAGTGTGTACGGGGGGGGGGGTTAGGGTGGGAGGGAGCATAGGGTTGGTTGGTACAAATAAGGATGATGATGCGCATGAGATGACCCTTGAGTCAAACACCGACGAGTGGTCCTACTTCTCCAGCTCTCGGTCGGTACCCAATGCCCATACCCACACTCTAGCTCGCACACACCAAGACACCGCTCATTCAGCAGCATACCTCCGCCGTCTCCTTCGTAAGGCGCCTTAAAATTACACACCTCCGCCGTCTTCTTCTTGAACACGGAAGCGTAGCCCTGCTTCTCCAGCTCGGGCCCAAAGAACTCCTCGAAGTGGTCGCTTTGCACCTGAGGTGTGAGAGACGGAGGGAGGGGAGGAGAAGGGGAGCAAGATCAGCCTAGGGGTAGAGGCTACAGCCCCTCTGGATTAGCTGCTTCGCCACCTTGTCGGACCCAAACAACTCCTCGGTGTGGACGCTCTGCACCTGAGGTGCCGTGAGAGGGGAGGGGAGGGGAAGGGAAGCAGGGTCAGCCTGGGGTAGGGGTTACAGCCCCTCTGGATTCGCTGCTTCTCCACCTCGTGGGTCACAAAGAACTCCTCACAGTGGTCGCTCTGCACCTCACCTGAGGTGTGAGAGAGGGGCGGTGGGGTGAGGAGAGCGGGCTTAGAGCGGGGCAGAGACTGAAACAAGCGCCACTTTGAGGGCTTCTTTGAGGGCTTGCGCTTGTTTCAGAGAAGCCCAAAGAAGCCCTCAAAGTGGTGAGTAAAGGCGAGTGGGGGGAAGGGGAGGAGCGGGGAGGGAATGTGAAGAGCAGAAGGAATATTCTGGGATAGAGCCTACAGCACCTTCTGGCCCAAACAACTCCACAAGGTCGCCGCTCTGCAGTCGACGCGTGTGAAAAAGAGGCCCGGGGGATGTAAGGGGGTCCGAGACAGGGTAGAGGGCGAGAGGGGGCAAAAAAGGGGGTTGGCAGCTGTACCTTTCACTCGTTACGAAACCATTATATGCACACTCGTTACACGCTCACCTCCTGCAAGCACATGATATCAGCGCAGTGCCCCCAGCCAGGCAGCTCGCTCAGCCAATTCTGCTTCCTGTACGCCCATGCATGCATACCCGTTACACTCCATACTCGTTATAATGATATAATCCCAACCATTGAAAACTCACCTCCTGCAAGCACATGATATCAGCTCGATATCCCAGCAGCTCCCGCAGCAAGTTCTGTTTTCTATACGCCCATGAGAGCGCCCAGGGCGGGCAGTAGCTGTACATCTCACTCGTCGCATACAGGTCCGCCAACACATTGTACGACAGCAGCGTGAACCCCCCTCTCCCCCCTCCGCCCCCCATCTGCCCTTCCCCCTCTCCCCCCCCAACCGCCACCATGCGACGGGGCGTGGGGGATGGGGCAGGGATGACCCGGGAGGTGAGGAGAGTGGACGGGGGAGCCACTGGGAGGCCTGTGGCGGCTTCTATGGGCACGCACTCGAGCTTTAGCACATGGCCCACGTCGTCTGTGCTGGGGGTGTAGGGTTTTCCGCGCCCCACTTCGAACCACACCTCGCCCCCCACTCGCCCCTCCGCCCGCGTTAGAACCCCCCCCAGTAGTGTCAAACTGATGAGCAACCCCCCCTGGCGGGGCCTGTGCGCGAATCCCCCGCCCAGGGGCCTCTGCACCCCCTGCTGCTGCTCCGCCTGCCCATATCCCCCCATCCCCCCTGTGCCCCCCCTCCCGCTAGTCCCGTGGTCCCATTCCCACTGTTGAACTTCCCAAACAGCTCCTCCTCCTCCGCCGCCCCCCCATTCTCCCGCCTCTGCCCGCCCCCAACCCCAGCAGCACCACCACCAGCGCTAATCTCCCCTGGGATTGTCCCGTCGCTGCTGCGTGGGTGCTGCCGCCTAGCCCGCGCGAGTGCAGCGCGCGGGTGGCGTGGCCAGGCGGACTGGAAGCAGAGCGGCGAGCAGTGGTAGCTGCGGGCGATGGGCAGCTTCGCCTTCACGCAGCCCAGGCACTGCAGGGTGGCCGGCTCGTTGGGGTGCACGGAGCAGACAGCAACCCTCTTATCACTCTGCACACGGTACCTGGGTGGGAGGAATGATTGGATGAAATGGAGGATCCTCCTGTGACGATGGTGCCACCGGGGCTTGCGCAGCAGCACGCACACGCGAGCCCACGATCCCATGAGGGAAAGATGAGCGAAGGCATGCATTCTTGAGGCGCCTCAAAAATAGACTCCTTGCGCAGCAGCACGCACACGCGAGCCCACGACGCCATGAGCGAAAGATGAGCGAAGGCATGCATTCGAGGATAACCACTACAGAACAGCACGTTCGTACCAGCGGCAGCGGATGTAGTAGCCATCGATGGGGTTGGTGTCGGGGATGTCTTCCGTGGTGATGGTGCCATCGGGCTTGCGCAGCAGCACGTAGGGGCACAGCTCGCAGCCGGCGATGGGGATGTCGGACGGCAGGTGCACTCGCAGCACGCTCAGCATCGCTCTCCAGCGTCGCACGCGCCGTCGCACGGCTCGCTACGCGTCGTCGCACGATCCTAACGTCGTCGCCAGAATGGAGCCCTCACGCACGGTCGGCGTGCGACGGACTGAAACGGGCGATGGGGAGGCGAAAGACGCGGAGGTGAGACGGTAGATAACACGGTCGAAAGATAAAGGCAGCTAGAACGCGCTTAGAGACGGGTGCTCGAATCTGAATCGGATGAAAATAATAGCTAGCCTAGGCGCCACACGACTAGGTTGGAGTCGCCACGAAGTTGCTAAGAAGTCGCCACGCGGGGAATCAGGCCCGGAGTCGCTCTGAGAAATACCGGTGGTAGAACCAGCGAAACTACAATGGACAGGAAATGCTTATAGCGGGGCTTACCGCATCCGGTTTCCTTAAAAAGAGTTAGCCGTCACTGGCTGTGCTAGCTGTCGTCATGAATCGTAACCCTAGCTGCCGTAACCAGATTCAGGAACTTTTTATCACCCGGAAACTGCTAGGGATCCGCCATGAAGCCGACGTCCGAAATTGAAATTTAAGACGTGAGGGGAACCGCGAAGAATCTCTCTCAAACTGACGGCTCCGATTGCGGGTTGCCGTACCTCACGCGTTTCCTGCAGTCATGGCTGCTGGGGAAAAAAATCAGCTGGCTTTTGTTCAGCTCGTTCTGGTTCTTTCTGGGTTTCCTCTGACTCGAGGAGCTCTCAGGGCGTGTCCCATTTTGAGAAGATTTCTTATTGTTTCGTGCGGTGAAACGGACCTCGCAGAGAGAAGCTACACTGTTCATCACAAAAGGGTACTTCTCGATTTACTTCTGACGGAGATTTTGCAGCTGGGTGACTGGATGCTGACGAATATTGACTGTTAGCTGTCGATGGTGGGTGAAAGACACCAGAGCAGGGCGAAAACGTTGTGTGGAACTGACATTCGTCGTTCGCGCGCACGCCACCGAGGCTGTTTCGCTGCACGTCGACGAAAGCCGTCACAGTCGCAATTTCCTTCGTCACACGCCACCAGCGTCCTTCGCGCTGAATGCTTGCTGCGGTTCGTTTCAATCCGCTTTCAGGCTAAGAGGGAGAAATCAGTAGGCTCGGTCGGTTTGAGAACCAGAATGTGCTTGCGCCCTACTTCAGCCAACTGACACTTCTCCTGTCGACCAAGGTAGCAGCACTGGCACGTCCTCCTGAAAAGGGCTTTCCTCAGCGAAATGGCCACATTCCCGCCAATTCGCTCTCATCTACTACAGTAAGTCTAGGAACCGCGTAATAACAGGCACGCCGGGGAAGACGCAGGCAACGTTGATGCAAGGGCGCTTCTTCGCGATTTCTTTTTTCTGCTTCTCAGGTCTAGAAGTGACGAGTTCGCTTGAGAGAAACGGAGCAGCCGCTAGCCTCGCGCTTTCGCTACGATCTCCCTCGTCCATGCCTCGAATCGTTGGCAGTGCCGTTTCCGGCAGCAGCTAACGCGCTCCCGCTATAATCACCTCGTCCATGATTCAAGTCCCGTTATCACCTCGTCCGTTATCCGCCTCCTCGTGCCGTCGACGTTATCCACAGCCTTGGTAGCATCTCCCTCTCAAATCCACCAGCCTGACTTAACGTAACCTTCCTGCCATCGCCCTCATCCACACCCTCAGTAGCGTTGTGAGCGGCCCGTGACGCGCGCGCGGGTGCCTCCCTTTCTCAAACCCGCCAGCCTGACGTGTAAGCCTCGTCCATCGCCGGTACTCACGACAGCATGATGTCACTCCCGCCAGCTCGCTCCAGCGTCGGCGGCGGCGGGGGAAAGGTGGTACTGGTGGGGGTGCGACTGCACCAGCCGAACGCGAATCTGCTGTGGAGCGGCAGCGGCGGCGGCGGCAGCAGCAACCGAGGCGGCAGCGCGGCAGTCTCGAAGGAGGGCCAGGCGCTCGTCGAATTCGCGCTCTCGAGACTAGTGGTCCCGGGGGATCGAATTATCGCCATGGCTGTCAGAATTGTCCGCGCCCCGCACTCCTCAGGTGCGTTTCGCCCAGCCATCAGAATCCGGCAGTCCCGAGGGAGGGTCAGGTGCTCGTCAACTTCGCGCTCTCGAGATTGGTGGTCCCCGGGGATCGCATCGTCGCCCTGGCCGTGCGCATCCCCGAATCCCCCAATCCCCCGATCCCCCAATCCCCGAATCCCCCAATCCCCGAATCCCCCAATCCCCGAATCCCCCAATCCCCCAATCCCCCAATCCCCCAATCCCCGAATCCCCCAATCCCCCAATCCCAATCCCCCAATCCCCCAATCCCCCAATCCCCCAATCCCAATCCCCAATCCCCCAATCCCCCAATCCCCCAATCCCCAATCCCCCAATCCCCCAATCCCCCGATCCCCGATCCCCCAATCCCCGATCCCCCAATCCCCCGATCCCCCGATCCCCCGATCCCCCGATCCCCGCAGTCCCCAGGTCCATTCGAGTTCTTCTAGGTGCCCTCAAGGAATGACCCCATGGCGCTTTCTAGGCAATCACCCCATGGCGCTCTCTAGGCAATCACCCCATGGCGCTCTCTAGGCAATCACCCCATGGCGCTCTCTAGGCAATCACCCCATGGCGCTCTCTAGGCATTCACCCCATGGCGCTCTCTAGGCAATCACCCCATGGCGCTCTCTAGGCAATGGCCCCATGGCGCTCTCTAGGCAATCACCCCATGGCGCTCTCTAGGCATTCACCCCATGGCGCTCTCTAGGCAATCACCCCATGGCGCTCTCTAGGCATTCACCCCATGGCGCTCTCTAGGCAATCACCCCATGGCGCTCTCTAGGCAATGGCCCCATGGCGCTCTCTAGGCAATCACCCCATGGCGCTCTCTAGGCAATCACCCCATGGCGCTCTCTAGGCAATCACCCCATGGCGCTCTCTAGGCATTCACCCCATGGCGCTCTCTAGGCAATCACCCCATGGCGCTCTCTAGGCAATGGCCCCATGGCGCTCTCTAGGCAATCACCCCATGGCGCTCTCTAGGCAATGGCCCCATGGCGCTCTCTAGGCAATCACCCCATGGCGCTCTCTAGGCAATGGCCCCATGGCGCTCTCTAGGCAATCACCCCATGGCGCTCTCTAGGCAATCACCCCATGGCGCTCTCTAGGCAATCACCCCATGGCGCTCTCTAGGCAATGGCCCCATGGCGCTCTCTAGGCAATCACCCCATGGCGCTCTCTAGGCAATCACCCCATGGCGCTCTCTAGGCAATCACCCCATGGCGCTCTCTAGGCATTCACCCCATGGCGCTCTCTAGGCAATCACCCCATGGCGCTCTCTAGGCATTCACCCCATGGCGCTCTCTAGGCAATCACCCCATGGCGCTCTCTAGGCAATGGCCCCATGGCGCTCTCTAGGCAATCACCCCATGGCGCTCTCTAGGCATTCACCCCATGGCGCTCTCTAGGCAATCACCCCATGGCGCTCTCTAGGCATTCACCCCATGGCGCTCTCTAGGCAATCACCCCATGGCGCTCTCTAGGCAATGGCCCCATGGCGCTCTCTAGGCAATCACCCCATGGCGCTCTCTAGGCAATGGCCCCATGGCGCTCTCTAGGCAATCACCCCATGGCGCTCTCTAGGCAATCACCCCATGGCGCTCTCTAGGCAATCACCCCATGGCGCTCTCTAGGCAATGGCCCCATGGCGCTCTCTAGGCAATCACCCCATGGCGCTCTCTAGGCAATCACCCCATGGCGCTCTCTAGGCAATGGCCCCATGGCGCTCTCTAGGCAATCACCCCATGGCGCTCTCTAGGCAATCACCCCATGGCGCTCTCTAGGCAATCACCCCATGGCGCTCTCTAGGCATTCACCCCATGGCGCTCTCTAGGCAATCACCCCATGGCGCTCTCTAGGCATTCACCCCATGGCGCTCTCTAGGCAATCACCCCATGGCGCTCTCTAGGCAATGGCCCCATGGCGCTCTCTAGGCAATCACCCCATGGCGCTCTCTAGGCATTCACCCCATGGCGCTCTCTAGGCAATCACCCCATGGCGCTCTCTAGGCATTCACCCCATGGCGCTCTCTAGGCAATCACCCCATGGCGCTCTCTAGGCAATGGCCCCATGGCGCTCTCTAGGCAATCACCCCATGGCGCTCTCTAGGCAATGGCCCCATGGCGCTCTCTAGGCAATCACCCCATGGCGCTCTCTAGGCAATCACCCCATGGCGCTCTCTAGGCAATCACCCCATGGCGCTCTCTAGGCAATGGCCCCATGGCGCTCTCTAGGCAATCACCCCATGGCGCTCGCTAGGCAATCACCCCATGGCGCTCTCTAGGCAATCACCCCATGGCGCTCTCTAGGCATTCACCCCATGGCGCTCTCTAGGCAATCACCCCATGGCGCTCTCTAGGCAATGGCCCCATGGCGCTCTCTAGGCAATCACCCCATGGCGCTCTCTAGGCAATGGCCCCATGGCGCTCTCTAGGCAATCACCCCATGGCGCTCTCTAGGCATTCACCCCATGGCGCTCTCTAGGCAATCACCCCATGGCGCTCTCTAGGCATTCACCCCATGGCGCTCTCTAGGCAATCACCCCATGGCGCTCTCTAGGCAATGGCCCCATGGCGCTCTCTAGGCAATCACCCCATGGCGCTCTCTAGGCAATGGCCCCATGGCGCTCTCTAGGCAATCACCCCATGGCGCTCTCTAGGCAATCACCCCATGGCGCTCTCTAGGCAATCACCCCATGGCGCTCTCTAGGCAATGGCCCCATGGCGCTCTCTAGGCAATCACCCCATGGCGCTCTCTAGGCATTCACCCCATGGCGCTCTCTAGGCAATCACCCCATGGCGCTCTCTAGGCAATGGCCCCATGGCGCTCTCTAGGCAATCACCCCATGGCGCTCTCTAGGCAATGGCCCCATGGCGCTCTCTAGGCAATCACCCCATGGCGCTCTCTAGGCATTCACCCCATGGCGCTCTCTAGGCAATCACCCCATGGCGCTCTCTAGGCAATGGCCCCATGGCGCTCTCTAGGCAATCACCCCATGGCGCTCTCTAGGCAATGGCCCCATGGCGCTCTCTAGGCAATGGCCCCATGGCGCTCTCTAGAGAGGACGCGGATTAAGAGGAGGAGATGAGCCAGAACGGTGTTGAATAAGGGAAGAGATTCACTGCGTAGTTTTGAGGCGCCTCCAAACTAGACTTCACTGCGTCTTTCCTTCCTCGCCCCCACCAGGGTCTCGTAAGGCCCGGTTCAACTCGGAGCAGGATGCGGAGGAGGAGGAGGAGATGAGCCAGAAGATGCTGGCCGCGCTGCACCCCAAGATCGAGTGGCGGGAGCTAAGCAGGAGGAGGAGGTGCAGTGCTGGTACATCATTACAGGAGGCTTTAAGTGCAGGGTTTTGGCAAGCTGCACCCAAGATAGAAGTGCAGGGGCGAAGCAGGTGAGGAGGTGCAGTGTCTGGTTACATTGTAACAGCTGGGTTTTAAGTG